TAAACATAACCTATAAATAATAAGAAAGTGGCGGCGGCAGATCTGTTAGAATCTGTCCCTCCTTTCAACCACTTGTGTTCTCCTGTTCTTCTTCTATTCTCTCTTCTTTCTCTCACTTTTCTTATGTTTTGTAAACCTAAAACCTATTAGGATTCAAGACTGATTACAGTCTTGATCTTCTACTGTTTGTGTGCAGGTGGAACTTGCCAGCTGAGGTAAATTTGTTGTTTTCTCCATATACCTTTGTGTGGACCACAAGAAGAGGGAGAATTATGTTAAAGTGTATAAGAGCAACTCTCCTTTGGACTATTTGGGAAGAAAGAAATTCCAGAATTTTTCAGAAGGAAAGAACCATTCTTGAGGTCAAGGAGTATATTTTGACAAGGACTACTTTGTGGTTGAAATCCTTAAAGCTCTTTGAAAATTACTCCTTCGATGATATAATGAGGAATGTAGTTGCCCTCACTTCTTCTAAGAAGCCTAGAATTCAAGTAACTTGGACTCCACCGTTGGAGGGTTTTGTTAAGATGAACTTTGATGGGAGTAGTCAGGGTAATCCAGGACCGTCTGGTATTGGTGGTGTACTGAGAAATGAGAACAGCAACATTCTTACCCTTTTTTCGGGACTGGTGGGAATAGGAGACTCTGTGAGGGCTGAACTCCTAGCTGCAGCACAGGGGATACAGATTGCTTATCAACTTGGAGTGCAGAACTTAATAATTGAAGGAGAATCCAAGGTGGTAGTAGGATGGTTGGCTGACCCGGGTACTGTCACTTGAGACTTTAAGGATATTTTAAAAAAGGTTAATGGCTTTTAAGGGATATGACAGTTAGATTTCAGTGGGTGGGTAGATTGGCTAATGCCTTGGCTGATTATCTTGCTAAACAAGGGGCTACTCGGGTTTCCTTGTATTGGGCTTCTCTGTAATTTTCTTTGTCCTTTGTTCTGTTTATTAACTAAAGGGTTGATGGTATCCTCCATCTCCCCTCCTTAAAGGGGAGGTAGCATCTCGTGCCTCTCCCTAAAATGTATTCTCTTTGGCTATGAATTAATAAATCTTACAATTCACTGATCAAAAAAAAAGCCAGCACAAAGGACAAAATCATTAGAGAGATGCAATAGCAAGAAGCATGTTATACTTACAGTCGTGTAAGAGATTTTTGACCAAGTTGTGAAGGTATGGTACCTCCCAAAGAATTAGAACTCAAGTTCCTGTAGAGAAATAATGCAAACAAACTCAACTGGAAAACTTCTTGACATGGGAGGTAAAGCAAAATTCAGAGCTCATGAAGAAGTAGCAGAAGGGACATCATTTGGAAACTACTGGTCAACTATTCAAATTCAAGTCCCTTCTTTTAGAAACCATCACTTTTTGCATAAACTGACCATTCAATTATCATTGAATGGATAAAAATGACAAAAGTGAACAGTTTTAGATTTTAATGAAATGTAAAAAAGAGAAACTGGAGAAAATTAGCGATGAAGACAAGGAAAGAATTCATTGTTGGCAAACATCCCAAAAAAATTACAGCCATGGATGCCACAGCCAAATTTGATTCTGCTCTTTCAAAAAATATAGGTAAAATGTTTTTCATCTTTAGGATTTTATGATTTACAACAGCAACAAAAAAAATCAAATAATAAGATTACAAGATTGTGGAACATACAGGGATGATAAAGTACATAATAAGTCAATACTTACAGGCTTACTAAATTCGTCAAAAGGCCAATCTGCTCACTGATATACCCTTTCAAGCCTTGACTTCCAAGATCTCTGTTGAAGTTAAAAAATAAAAATAAAGGAACTCCCATAAGGGGAAAACTGTAAACAGTTCCACGCTTGCCAAACATGTTTTTTTTATGAATAACTTGCCAAACATGCTTTAACCAATGAATTCTGATGCAGTTCGTAAATATTTAAGGCCTGAATTTCAAACTAATACTAAGCAAGTAGTATAATTAGCATCTTGCAAACATAGCTATTCACCAATTTAAAATTGATGCAAGGAAAAGGAATATAGGCTTTAACATGGCCTAGAATTTGAGAATCTTTTGTCAATTTCATTAATCAGGTAACTAATGGCATCAGAAATTGTGACCATAGAAAACTACAAACATGATTTGCTCCAGTTCATTTTGATGATTATCCTTACCAAAAAACAAAAGGAGTGATATTAGAACAATAGAACGGAATATATGAATAAAAGAGTTCAAAAAAGAGAAAAACCAAGATTGTAATGAGACTAAACTAGCACATGCAAATGAAAAAACATGTAGAATTATCACTATCTGGGGCATGTAGGTCAGACTAAGACATAGGTGCCAATGAGTTCAGGTAAAGCCAGGTGAGAAGCACTCAGTCACTGTCACCCAGGCAATAATTTCTTTTTATGAAATAACTTGGTTAATCTAATTTTGTTTCCCTAATTTTCATGAGCGAGCTTGTTTCCCTTACTGAATAGCAAGTATCAACTATTAAAAATTATCCAACAAGGAAAAAACAAGCGTGACAATTAACAAATAGAAAGAAAGTAATGCTATATGATCTGTGAATAAAAACAAAGGTGTGGACTGTGGAGCCCCTATTCTGTTAATGCAAGGAGATAAAGCAAAGCATGTGTATAAAAATCAGAGAATGGGAGAAAAAGAGAAGCTAAACAAAGTGGCATAACCCTTGTTATGTTGAATGTGATTGAGATATGGAGTGTGTATAAATGAGTGGAGAGTGATTACGGAGAAAAAAAACAATAAAAAAACAAAGGGGTAGAGTTCCTGTTGTACCATATGTATGTATGCATGTGTCTATGAGAGAGAGACCATACTTTATATTGCTTACACAGATTGAGAGAAAAGGAGAAAGAAGAATAAGTTTGTTTGTTACAGAGAAAGAATACAAGTGGAAGCCCAATGGTTGTGAACACATTACTAAACCCATTTTATGGTTCTTTGAATTCAAAGCTGGCCTTTTACAGTTTCTTCTTTGACCCTTATCCATATAAAACCCAAATAAAAGCCACGTCCAATTTTGCAACAATGAAGTTACACCATGGATTTTGCAGTTCAGTACACAATGAAGTCAGTATTTGTCCTAGTTATCTTCCTGTATTTGACTAAGTTTCTCATCACTGAAGTTCCCAAATTTTTATAAGGTTCATGTCAGTTGATTTAAAGGGACTTACTTACAAAATTTTCTACATATAGAAATGTGCCAGCTAGGAGATAGATCCTGAAAAAAAAGAAAAAAAAAAAAAAAGAGGAAAGTTCTTACATTTGAGATACCACAAGGGCAGACTTGTCCTTGTTAGGGTGGCAAGTAACTCCTTCCCAAGCATCCCAATTAGAAGGAGCACATGGATCCCCATTCCAGCCCATTCTATCTGGAACCTTCAGTGATTCCTTCAATGCTCGCATCGCAGTCACTACACCACATCCATTCATCAAAGCCAAGTACGATGATTATGCAAAAATAGAACAATTATTTCTGACAGTTCTAACTTAATTTCCTACTCATCTATATGCTTATGCTTCATGAATCAACCTGGCAGATACTCTACCTAGTAATTCAGAACAAGGGTTGCATGCGGGGGGAGAGGGGGTTGGTCTCCCACTATCCCTTACGGTCTGGGATGTTTTGGAGTTTTTTCAGTCTCATAAATTAATAAATTTTACCATTACTGAACAAATATCAGGAATCAAATTTACAATTGATATACACTATTCCCATACCTTGCTCAGGAACGGTAGCAAGATCCCTTGGAACCATGGCGTAATTCTCAAGACCGCTTATCAACGGAGAACCAACAACAGGAACAAGCTTCACTCTCAAATACGTAGTGTTCAAGTTCTTCACAATATAATGCCAATTGAAAGCGGCAAAACTCCCAACATGCTTAAAGATATCAATCCTACTCACATTCCTCTGATTGATGAACACATCAAAAACACGCTGCCCTGCCGCAGTGACACTCGTATCAATCTCTGCAAAATGGAACCAAACCAAGTAATCCAATTTGGCATCAACAGACAGTTCATACTCCAATGCTCCACCACCCACAACTGTAACCGCCGTCTGGTACAGATGCATAGGGAAGTAATTAGGCCGTTGGTTCGTCCCAAGCACATTTCTCCTCGTTTGAATAACCTTAACTGAATTCAAGTTTCCTGTGCGGAATTCCGCATCAGATTGCCAAGCACGCCCGAACAAATCCGTGTCATTGGTAAACCCCGCTCCCAGCAGATCAGAACCACAAGTCAACCGCCCGTAGTTGATCAGAATAAGATTATTGCCGGTGGTCGAAGAATCGTAGGACAAGGGATCGATTTGAACAACCTCAAGCGATCCAATCACCGGAGGATCAGTGGCAATGCTGTAAAAACAGATATCCGCTTCGCCGTCCTTGACGAAGGCAAACAGATCAGAGTAAGCCCCGGTCCGGCTCACATCGTCCCCCCACGGCGACCGCCAGCTGAACACAAGGGTCCCCTCGACGGAGACATCGAAGCTGGGGGAATGCAGCTTGCCGTCGTAGTTATCGTAAACGGTGAAAGTACGGATGTAGTAGCGGCCGGTGGGGACATTGACGATGTAGCAATTCTTCTTGCCGAATGAGATGGGGAAGAACCGAAGGGTCTGCTCTTGTTGCTGCTGGAAGAGATGAGTTTCGGCGACGGGGGAAGTTGAGCCGCCGGTGAAGAAACGGTCGGAGAGCCATGTCTCGTTGAACCTGTTGGTGAAGTTGGTTTGGCCGCCGCAGTCAATTCGATAGGAGGTGTCTGCGAGTCAAGAGGATGCTTGCTTTTTAGAGACGGTTAAGACAGTTAAATAGTTGGTTGGTTAGTGAGAGAAATAGAAATGGAAAGAAGAGAGAAGAGATTGCTTACCGTAGGGATACGAGTTAAGGGGAGGAGGAGAAGAGAGGAGAAGAGGGAGAGCGAGGAAGAAGAAGAAGGACATGGCAGTTGGGTGTGGAGGAACTGCTGTTTCTTCGGACTTCGGACATGTGAAGAGGAGCAGAAGCAGATAGACATGTGAAGGGAAGCAATGGACTAAAAAAATATAAAAATAAAACAAAAATGAGAGAGATAGAGAGAGAGAGAGAGAGAGAGAGGACAGGAGAGGAGAGTGGAAGGAAGAAGAGGCGTTGGACTTTTGCTAAAATGCGCGTCTTACGGTGAAGAGGTTGGTGGATTTGGATGGGACCAGTGAGAGGGAGAGAGTGTGACCCAAGTACAAAGCTAGTGAAGGTTTTTTACGACGCCACGTCATCTAACACATCTATGTACGTTGGGGTGCTCAACGGGAGAGCTAGTGCGGTTTCGACTTTCGACAGTTGTCGGATCGGAATATTATATTAGGTCGGAATACGGGAGAGCTGGTGCAGCCGAACGGGAGCAACTTTCGGAAAGTGAAATTTAGGTCATGTGAGGAGCTTCTTCCTTTATTAAAGGAAATGGAAGAGTAATTGTTGGTACTCGTAAGTCGTAACGTGATTAAGCCTGTCCCGATTCCTGATCACGAAAAAGGTGGCAAGCTACGTCTGTTTTTGCTGCATACAATTTACGTTACGTGTTTTGAAAATTGACATGGATCGAAGCTCCAAAAACCAAAAGTAGAGATGTCAACGGATCAGGTTTGAGGCGGGTTTTGCTTGCCCAAATCCGATTCCGAAGCGTCATCAATCCAACCCGCCCCGACTAAATGAGGAGGGAATATCGAATCCGAGCATCCGACCCTACACTATCAGTCCTACACGTAAAGAGTACAGATATAAATTAGACATTTTAGGCCCCGTTTGGTTTGCGGGAATAGGGGTTTGGAATCGGAATTGGAATGGGCTATTCCGATTCCAACTGCTTGGTTGGGCAGAATCGGAATCCCATTCCAGAATGAAATTCCCCCATTTGAAGGAATGGYCATTCTCTACTTTTTCCTTGGGAATGAAATCTCATTCCTGTTGATTTTAATTCTCATTCCTATTTCTGTCTAAACCAAACAAATTATGGGAATGAACCATTCCGATTTCGATTCCGATTCCAACTGCAAACCACCAAACGAACTTGATGGTGCACAATCCGGCTGATCCTATCTGTACTTTTTCCTTGGGAATGAAATCTCATTCCTGTTGA